TTACTATGATCACATGTGTTTTTCTCCTTTATTTTCTGATAGAAAGATTATGTTAATAGACTCAGTCAAACTTGCATTGATAAAGCAAATCTCTTTTAAGTTATTTAAAAATAAAATGCCATGAAGAATTATTAAATTAAAAAGGGCATATCTGCTGAATGTTTCATTGATATTTATATTTTATAATATTATTTTGTAATATTGTGTATTATTTTTATTTACGTATAACTTACGTTGGTAAGATTGGACTGGACTTTCCGGTTTGAGTTTTATCTTTGCCACATTCAGCAGAAAAAGCACTGCACTTGGTTTTACTGCTCCCATCTTGCCTTAAGTTATTTCTTTCACTTTGTTATTTTGTCACTACTTTTTCCTACTTGTTTTTCTGGTGTGATCAAATTGCTATTGCTTTCTCTTTTCCCTTTAACTATTCGGAAGCTGCAGGGATTATCATAATATAATTCCCCAATGAACCTCACCTCCAAGTATTCAGGACCTTTCGCAGTAGGCTATGACTATGTGTCCACGTATATTTGCAGGGGCTATGACCATGTATCTGTGTCCATTCATGATCGGCTATGATCATGGGTCCACAATTATTCACAGAGGGCCACGACCATGTGTCCACATCTATTCACAGTGGGCTACGACCAGGTGTCCACTTTTCACTCACAGTGCACTATGAGCATGTGTCCACATCTATTTGCAGTGGCTATGACCATGACCACAACTATTCACAGTGGGCTCTGACCATCCACGACCATTCACAGTGGGCTATGACCATGTGCCCACATTCACTCACAGTGGACTATGACCATGTGCCCACATTCACTCACAGTGGACTATGACCGTGTGTCCATGTCCATTCACAGAGAGCTATGAGCATGTGTCCACGTTCACTCACAGTAGGCTATGAGCACGTGTCCACATGTATTCTCAAGTGAGCTATGAGCATGTGTCCACGTCCATTCACAGAAGGCTATGAGCATGTGTCCATGTTCACTCACAGTGGGCTATGACCATGTATCCACATCTGTTCACAGTGAGCTATGACCGTCTGTCCTTGTCCATCCACAGAAGGCTATGACCATGTGTCCACGTTCACTCACAGTGGGCTATGAGCATGTGTCCACATCTGTTCACAGTGAGCTATGACCATGTGTCCACATCTATTCACAGAGGGCAATGACCATGTGTCCATGACCATTTGCAATGGGCTATGAGCATGTGTCCACATCTATTTGCAGTGGGCTATGAGCATGGTTCCACGTCCATTCACAGTGGGTTATAATTGTTCTTCATGTCAAGAAATAGAGTCAGTGTCTTCAACCCAGTGAATCTGAGCTGAGCTTGTGACTTCATTTAACCAAGAAATTAGGGGAGGTGATATTGTGCAAATCCTAGAGCTAAGGACTTAGGAGTCTTTGAGATTTCCATTCTTGCCATTTTGGTGCCTCCTTCTGTGCACAGACACTCAGGCTGTGCTCTTTAAAGATGAAAGAAGAGGGAGACACCCAGCAGTACTTTTGTCTTAGCTGAACCCATCCCCAACCCCAGTCCCCATAATCCCAGTCAACTCCATGAATCATGAGGAAAAATCAATTGTTGTTTGAAGCTGTATTATGAAGCAATACGTAGCTGATGTCAAAGTATTTTCCCATCTGGTATACTTATAATCAGACAAGTATTTCTTCATTATTGTATAAAAATGGTACCAACTCTTTTCCTTGACCAAAATAGGTATCGCCTCATCTGACTAATTAGCTGTGTACTGAGAGGGCATTGATGTCTACCTTCTCTGTCCCTATCTCACCTACTCCCTACACCAAGACAGCTCCATTCCAGTTGGCAGGTATGTCTTCTCAAGAATTTGTATTTGGCAAGTATATTACTTCTTTTATACATATCCAGACATTTTATTGTTATGCATTCATATTTAACTGCATCAGTGTGTATTTTCAAAACTTATATTATGTTTAAATATGAGTAAATATGTATCTCTGTTCCACTGAATCTGAGCTGGCCTTGTGACTTCATTTAACCAAGAGATTAGGGAAAGTGATGTTGTGCAAATTTTCCTTTTAATTACTTAAAGGATTCCTTTAACTTCTTATCTTTCCAGTTGCTGCTTTCTGTAAACCTCATCCTCTGGGATACTGGTTACAAATTGGCAAAGATCTTAATGAAAAATGATGGCAATACTGGATAGCTTCTCTCTACATTTCTGTTTTGCCATTATTTTTGCCCCTGAAGTCATGGCTCCCTTGGTAACTTTTCAATACTTCTAAATGGACATACATATACACAGATATATAAGTGTATAGTTCCCCAAAGTTTTCACCCTCATCTTTCCAGTGTCAACTCGTCTATTCTGCTCATTTCTGAACTCTCCTCCCCAGATGGAGTATCTATGCCCTAGCATATTGGAGATGATTTTCTTCCATCAGGTGAAGCTTGTCTGGTTTCCTGGGCAGTAGCCCTTTTCCCTCAGCAGTCTGTTTATGTTATTCCAAACTCTTTTAGTTTCCATAGCAGCAAAAGATAAGTCTGGTGCCAATCTAATTCTTCTTTTTCAAATGTTTAATTGTAGTGCCTCTACTTGGGTAACTAGTTAGGTAACTAAAGGGAAAAGATGTAATCCTAGGGGTTTTGGTAGAAGTGAAAGAGAACAACTTGGCTTGCCAATGATTGCATTGCATGGGACTGGCAAGGCTGCCCTCTCAAAAGAGATCTCACCTTATGAGCTGGCTATGAGAAGTTAACACTCTTAGACTGACTTTGTGATAGAAGAAATCACAATGTGTGATACAGTTCACTATAATATATATAATTTGCCAAAATTTAAATACATTTTAACTGGTGTACAAACAGAAAACTGCACTGCACACAGTTCTCTTCTGAAATTCAGCATCTTGCCATCTGTATTTTGGACCACATTATTCATTTTTAACTCTGCATATAATAATTTTAGTATCTTAGTCAACTATAAGTCTATTTATATTATCTGTTTTTTCTCTTGGATCTTGGACATTTGGTCATGTTCCCTGGTGTGTCTGTCAATTTTTATGCATAGTGCATGAGAAAAGCTTGAATGATAATTTGAGATTATGAGTGATGTTATCTTCCTCTGGAGAGAATTTTTTTTTTGCTTTAGGCAGGCAATCTGAGTAAGTGTTCTTCACTTTAAACCAATTAGTGATTGAGCTCGTTCAGAACTGGATTTCAGTTTTGTCAGCACTAGTCAATTTCTAGTTCTTTCTAAAAGGTATACCACTATTCCTTTTTCTTGTCAGGTCTTAAAATTTTACTTTTATCTCTGCAACATTATCAGACTGTCAAAAGATCTCAGCAGCTTGTTATCCTTTCAGTTGCTACTTTCTGTTGTCCTTCTCATCCTCTGGGATACTGCTTACAAATTGGCAAAGATCTCAATAAAAAACAATGACACTACTCCATCTGATCTTTGACAAACCTGGCAAAAACAAGTAATGGAGAAAGGATTCCCTATCTAATAAATGGTGTTGGAAAAACTGGCTAGCCATATGCAGAAAGCTGAAATTGGATCCCTTCCTTATACCTTATACAAAAATCAAATCCAGAGGGATTAAAGATTTAAACATAAGACCTAACATCATAAAAACATAGAATACCATTCAGGATGTAGGCATAGGCAAGGACTTCATGACTAAAACACCAAAAGCAATGGCAACAAAAGCCAAAATAGACAAATTGGATCTAATTAAAGTTAAGTGCTTCTTTACAGCAAAAGAAACTATCCTTAGAGTGAACTGGCAACCAACAGAATAGGAGAAAATTTTTACAACCTACCCATCTAACAAAGGGCTAATAACCAGAATCTACAAATAACTTAAACAAATTTACAAGAAAAAAACAAACAACTCCATCAAAAATTGGGTCAAGGATATGAACAGACACTTTTCAAAAGAAGACATTTATGCAGTCAACAAACATATGAAAAAAACTCATCATCATTGGTCATTAGAGAAATGCAAATCAAAACCACATTGAGATACTCTCACACCAGTTAGAATGGCAATCATTAAAAAATCAGGAGACAACAGATGTTGGAGAGGATGTGGACCAATAGGAATGCTTTTACACTGTTGGTGGGAGAGTAAATTAGTTCAACCATTGTGGAAGACCATGGGGTGATTCCTCAAGGATCTGCAACTGGAAATACCACTTGACCCAGCAATCCCATTACTGGGTATATGCCCAAAGGATTATAAAACATTCAATTACAAAGATACATGCACATACACATGTATGTTTATTGCAGCACTGTTTGCAATAGCAAAGACTTGGAACCAACTCAAATGCCCATCAATGATAGACTGAATAAAGAAAATGTGGCAGATATATACCATGGAATACTATGCAGCCATAAAAAAGGATGAGTTCATGTATTTTGCAGGGACATGGATGAAGCTGGAAGCCATCATTCTCAGATAACTGACACAAGAACAGAAAATCAAACACCACATGTTCTCACTCATAAGTGGGTGTTGAACAATGAGAACACATGGACACAGGGAGGGGAACATCACCCACCAGGGCCTGTTGGGGGGTAGGGAGGCTAGGGGAGGGATAACAGGAGGTTGGGGGATTGGGGAGGGATAACGTTAAGAGAAATACCTAATGTAGGAGACGGGGGGGGGTGGATGCAGCAAACCACCATGGCGAGATCTGCACATGTATACCAGAACTTAAAGTAAATTAAAAATTTTAAATAAAAATAAAATAAATAAATAAAAAGAAAGAAAAATAATGACACTACTGGCTCCTTCTCTCTACATTTCTCTCCTTGCCACTATTTTTATCCCTGAAGTTTCCCTTGGAAACTCTTTATTATCTCTACATAGAGGTAATTTAATTTATTCAGCTTTTTAGTTCTCTATTGGAAGTTTGGTCTGATTCAAACTTGTCCACCAGAGCAAGAAGCCAAATCATTCAGGACATAGGTGTGGGCAGGGACTTCATGACCAAAACACCAAAAGCATTGGCAGCAAGCGCCAAAGTGGACATATGGGATGTAATCGAACTCCACAACTTCTGCACGGCAAAGGAAACAGTCCTGAGAGTGAAGCGGGAACCAACAGAATGGGAAAAAAATTTTGTAGTCTACCCATCTGACAAAGGGCTGATGTCCAGAGTTTACAAAGAACTAGAACAGATTTACAAGAAAAAACCAAATAAGCCCATTCAAAGGTGGGCGAAGGATATGAAAAGTCTCATTTTTCTTTATCGAATATATTGTGCTTTGCTATTAAAAACATGTCATTTTTTCCCCTCATCCTTGGAATTCAAGAATTTCACAATGTTAATATTATTTTTCATTAATCCTGTTTGGAACTTAGCCTATAAAAGATGAATAAATTAGCCTAACAACTCTCAGATCTACAAATCAATCATAATATCTCAAAGACAGAGACAATGCATTATGTGTTCCCTACTGCCTCACAACCATCTATGAGCCTAAATCACAAATCCAGAATGCAGCTGATTTTACAGGACAAATGACCTGCAGGGGGCACTGTTACAGATTAAAAGAAATATTAGGAACTCAACAACAAAATGCAGTGTGAACCTTGTTTGGATCTTGATATTTGAACCAACCAGCTATAAAAAGACACTCATGAGACAATTTGGAAATTTGAAGAGCTGATGTTAAGTCTAATAGTTATTGAGGAAATTAAGAATATGTTTTCATATATTTAGTTTTAGGAAAAATAGCATTGTGGTTATATTAAACAAGAGATCCCTTGCCTCAGTTGAAATGTTTACTGATGTCTTAATGAAACAAATTATATATCTGGGTTTTGATTAATAAAAAAGTTGATATTCCTATGTTTTCTTTATCACAATCATTCATTTAATAAATAAAATTCATCATATCCAGTATTTTCATTCCTGAGCATATCCTCAAAAGAATTGAAAACAACTCAAACAGATATTTGTTTACCCATATTCTTATTGCATAATTCACAATAGATAGAAATAATCCAATTGTTCATCAAATGACAAACAAATATGGTGTATTTATACAATGAAATATTATTGAGTCTTTAAAAAGAAGAAAATTCTGACACCTACTAAACATGGGTAAGCATTGAAGATACTACTCTAAGTGAATAAGCCAGATGTAAAAAGATGATAGATAGATAGATAGATAGATAGATAGATAGATAGATAGATAGATAGAATGATGGATGGATGGGTGAATAAATGGATGGATGGATGGATAGACAGACAGATGATAGATAGATAGATAAAATAAATGGATGATGGATAGATGGATCGATAGATTAGATAGATAGATAGATGATAGATAGATAGATAGATAGATAGAATGATAGATAGAACGATAGATAGATAGATAGATAGAGTGATGGATGGATGGATAGATGGATGGATGGATGGAAAGGTAGATATATGATAGATAGATAGATAGATAGATAGATAGATAGATAGATAGATCTCATCAGGGAACAGATAGTATACTCAAATTAGTGATTGGAGAGATTTTGATAGCTACATAGTTGGAGTGGGATAAGAAATTCACACAGGATAATGGGACCCTTGAAGCTGGTAAGTGCTGGGAGCTATTACCACCTAGACCTGGAGAGGAAAAAGGAGGGAGTTACAGGAACCTGGAGAGAGCTGTACAGAGCAGGTGCCTTGGTAGAACTGTGGACTTTGGTAGAGGGATACACAAGTTCTCTAGCAACCAGGTTGGAATTATGGATGCCCCAATCTCAGTTTTCTTCCCTTGTTCTGTTTTCACTCCGCCTTTCCTTCTCCCAGCACCCCACACTCCCACCTCTATTGGCAGAATATGACAGGCAAGCAAGAGATCAAAAGAGCTCATATATTCAGTTAATCCAGGTAAGCCTCGTGGGGAAAACGATGAATTGATCAAAACTGGATGGTGTATCTGGAGGAGAAACAGAGGAAAGCCAGCACAGCAAATATTTACTAAGCACCTATTCTGTGCCAGTTAATGTCCCAGGTGATTAAGACAGAGCCATGACCCAAAGACCCATCTTTGTGAAGCTTACCTTCTAGCTCACACAGGAAAATTGATTTCTAGGATTTATTTAATATTTGTTCTTTCATCTATTCTTTGTTCTTTTCCTAGAACTCCTAATAATCTTGTACAAGGGTTTTAGAGACAGATCACTCATTTTTCTCCTCAGTATTTTTAACCATGGCTTTTTGTTTGGGATTTGAAAAATACCTTTTATCCCCTAGGCAAAAGTCAGACAAACTTTTCTGCAAAGAGCCAGCTAGTAAATGTTTTAGACTTTGTGGGCTATACGGCCTGTCCCACCTACTCAATTCTGATATTGTAATGCAAAAACGGAAGTATACAATACATAAGTGAATGGGCTTGTCTGTGTCCCAATAAAACTTTATTTATAAAACTGGTGGTGAGCCAGATTTGGACTATGAGATAGAGTTGGCCAATTCTTATTCTAGGCCACTAACTTGGGCCTTAATGTCGACTTATTCTAACCTTCAGTTCATCTACTCCATGTTCTAATAAAAATAATCTGATTTTGTTAATTTGTTGTTTTCCAGAAGGTTCACTTATGGTGTAACTGAATCTCTGTAACCGTTCTTCACGACTTTGATCAACTTGCTCTCTAGCACCTAGTCTTTCTGGAGCTCCCCAGCCTGCAGTGTTCTGTTTCTTCCTCATGCCTGTGCAAGTCCTTCGGGGTACATTATTATTTTCCTTTGGTAACTCATGGCTCATTGGGCCCAAGGGTACTTGGAGTGGTGGGGTTCAGTAGCCTCTGCTCCAATAGGCAACAGCTGGCAAGGCAGCAGCTCCCTGTCTGGGAATCGGCACAGAGAGAACTTTCTCCTCCCAGCCTTCTTGAGCTGCAAGGTTGGCATTTCTGGGGCAGCAGCCCCTCTGTCCTCCATTTACTTGTAGCCCAGACCTTTGGGAATCTGGGAGGCCAACAGGCCTTCTGAGATAAGGCAGCTGGCAGGAGCTTTCACTTCCTCCAGAGAATCTGTGGAGCTCCAATCCTTGTCCCAGACTCTCTGCACCAGGCTCCTACCATCCCAGAAGGGACTGTGGCCTGCACAGAATCTGGCAGCCAGGAAGCCCACCCCACTGACGTCTTGATTGTTTCCTCCATGCCTCATGTACCTGCCAGCCCAAAAGCTCTCGGGATGGCCCTCTACAGGTGGATTAGCACTGGAGTTGGGGAAAGGCAGCAGGGGACTGCCATCTTTTACAACACTGAAACCAGGGTTTCAATCTGTTGAAACATCACAGGTGTTCAGACTGGCAGCAGCTAAGTTTTCAGAGTCAGTGTTTTTGGTCATCAGCTCGAAGACACAAGCAAACTGAACAAATGTGATAAGAAGGCTTCTTCACAATGAACTAAGTCCTGACATTGAATGTGAATCCATCCAGGAGACCTGAAGGGAAGCTTTTGCAAGCACAGAGAATGAGTATGGAAAAAAAAGCGAATATTCCTATATGAAGATTTGGGCCTCAGAGAGGTGATTTGTCTACCACATGGTGTGATTAGCATCAGAATGAGTGACTATCATGCTCTTTCCAAGAAATGGCCATATCTTAGGGCAGGACCCTAGAATCCTGGATGTTAGGGTTAAAAGAGACCACTGAGACCATTAGCCAAATCACCCCCAGTTCCCTGACACTTCTAAAAAGATGCATCTCTAGAGCATCTTCAAAGGCCATTTGGATGGCCAGAATACATCTTTAACTACTGCCCATTCTGAAAAATGTAGGCATCTGGCTCAATGGTTCTACCGACATAACAAAGAATATGGCAGCAAAATTATCATTGATTCACATTGTCTTTAGAGAGTGACAGATGCCCAGAATGTAGACGTGGGGGTTTACACAGGAAGGCATTAAAAGATTAAATATGACTTTATGTTTGACAATAGACCTAGTTCCATTCAACATCAATATGCCGACATTATTATGATTTTATGAAAACAATAATTCACAGTTTGCTGAAAGAGAATAACCGTATTGATCTTATGAACAGTGAATTTTATTTTCCATTAAATTTTTATGGAGCATGACAAGCTGTGTGCTGGGTCTGATCTTTTCTGCACATTAATGTACAGAGCTTTTGCAGATGTAGAAATTATGAGGGCTATGTTAATAAAACCAGCTCATATGGCCTGGGAGCAAAAAGTAAACAGTTCCTCACTGGAGTTCTGCTCTCAGCTTATTAGTTTTTCAGGTTTGTGAACTGACCCACAAAGGAAATAGAAATCTCTCCTTAGTGAACAGAGAGAAAAAAATAGGTTAGCAACAATGAGAAACTCTTTCTCAAAGACTCTTTAATGGCATTTCAAGTGCACATTTCAGAAGCAGCAGAGCAAGTACAACCAAAGGTATTGGGTAATTCACTCAAACCCTAGCAAGTCTCCTTACTCTGTGACATTATCTATCATAATACCAGAGTATTTCTAGCATCACCTAGAGTAACTATATTCTTAGTGTATTAGTCTGTTCTCCAGCTGCTGTGAAAATACTCAAGACTGTGTAATTTATAAAGAAAAGAGGTTTTATTGACTCACAGTTCCGCATGGTTGGGGAGGCCTCAAAAAACTTACAACCATGGTGGAAATCACCTCTTCACAGAGCAGCAGGAGATAGAATGAATGCCAGCAGGGCACATGCCAGGTGCTTATCAAACCATCAGCTCACTCACCATCCAAGAACAGCAAGGGGGTATCTGCCCCCATGATTCAATTACCTCCCACCAGGTCCCTCCCATGACAGGTGAAGATTATGGGAACTACAATGCAAGATGAGATTTGGGTGAGGACACAGCCAAACCATATCATTCAGCAGTACTTCTCTGAGGACGTTAAAACCAGTTTACTTCCTTCCTTTCACTAATTTTCACTTAAAAGTTCATATTCTGACTGATCCGTTGGCTATTTGACCATGGGGTTATTTGAATATCTCCAAATTCTAAATTGTACACTAGAAGCATTCACTGGTGTCCATTGGCATGATGTGTTTTAATCTCTTTCTCAAACACCAAAATACACAAAGGACTACTATGTTCAAATCTTAATCTGATTGTGGTAAACAAAGACACTTCCAAACACGGATATTAACATCTGGGGTAGAATCTTAGGCTTATTACCTTTTTAAGCTGGTCAACTTCACTTTGCCACTAATAAATATGGCCTTTGTGTGTTTTTTCTCTGACACTAACTAGCTGACCTCCAACTCAATTCAAGTCTGACAGTAACTACCCAGAGTTGATAGGGCTCTGTTCCACAAGGCTGCCCCCACTTCAGATGCCAGTTCCAAGTGCTGAGTCCCCAGGTGCCCTGCACAACTGCCTGGATGACTACAAATTCAGAGTCACCACCACCCATCTTGGGTCTGATAATTCGCAGCACATCTTAGAATTCAGGAAAGTGTTATACTTATGGTTTTATGGTGAAGGATGCAACTTAGGACCAGCCAAGTGGAAGAGACACACAGGGCAAGTGTGGGTGCCCTGTGTGTCTCTTCCACACAGTGGATGGGGTGGAGCTTCCATACCTTCTTCAGCACCTTGTCACCTCCCAGAGCTGACACACAAGACGAGGTATGTTGGGCAGGGTGGAGCTTCCATGCCTTCTCCAGCTTTCATGCCACCTCCCAGCATTTTGATATGTTCATCAAGTAGAATCTTATCATTTAGGGGGTTTTATAGAGGTTTCATTGTGTAGATATGATTGATTGGGTGACTGAACTCAATTTCCAGGCACTCTATTATTCCCAGGGGTCGGGGGTGGGAGTGTTGTAAGTTCTAGCCCTCTAATTACATGTTTTGTTTTTCTGGCAACCAACTCCCAGCTGAAGCTATCTAGGGGTCCACTATGAATTAACTCACTAGCATTAACTCAAGGGTGAGCAAAAGGGGCTTGTTATGAGTAACAAAAGATACTCTTATCACTCAGAAAATTCCAAGGGTTTTGGAAAATCTACGCCAAAAATGGAAAACAAATACCAAATGCATTTTTTATTGTGTTACATCTTTCCAACATGCTAGGAGTAGAAGCTGGGAAAGGCAGACAGCCATCTCAGCAGGAGAAGACAGCATTTTATCTAGTTCAGTATAGTATTATAGAACACACATGCACACCATGCGTTAGCCCTTGACTGGGCAGAGGGAGAAAACGTGTTGCAGTGTTTGACATGTTGTGGCATTTGATGGAACTAGGGAGAAATACACTTTTCTGAGCTCCTGAGTCTATTTCTGTCAAGGAAGCCATCAATTTTCTAGTAACTTCTTTCACTCTCTTCCCCCTACATGAGTTGTAATTAAGCTGAAATGAACTGAAAACTGACTCCATTTTCTTCACAAAGCCCCCAGAATAACAAATTCACTTGGCGTTTTATGATTATTAACTTATGGCATTGAAGGGATGGGCCTTGTGCATCTGCAGAGACAGTCATAGTGGACAGTGCAGAGGAGCTCCACAAATCACTTCCCAGGCTGCAACCGACATGCTGGGGAATATAAAAAATCCTTTCATGAGACGGACAAAAAGCTTTAGGAAAGTAGAAAGTGGGAGATCTCATAGCATCTCGAAGCTTTAGTCCCAGGCTTACGGGGACCTGACACAACCCTAGGCAGGCAATGGAAGATCTTCCTGGCTCTCACATAACCACTACGTGCCCTTTAAAACCCAACTCCAAGGGCCCTTTCACTACAAAGACTGATCCGAAGGCTTCTGGCTGAGGCTGGATGTCAGCCTTCCTTTCAATATCTCTAACACTTGTCCCTATCATTTCTGCTGTTACAATAGTCCAGGAACCCATCGTGTACGCATATTCCTGACATTCATTCCCTCGAGACTACATGCACCTTAAACATACAACTGGGTCTCATTTATTGGCTCTGCCCATTCAATTTTGGTAGTGCAGTTGTAGATCTTGGAGAACAGTGAGACCTTTGGTAGCCGAGGTCTCTATTGTGATCCCAGACACTGATGCGGCTGTTCCCGCAATAGACAGAAGCAGGAAATAGGTCAGGTACATTAACATTCTGTTGGAAATTCACAAGTGTGTACAAAATACCAAAAATAATCAGTTTGGGGAAAACATGGGTTTGAAAAACAAACCTAATCTAAAAACCAAAACAATGTTGACTCACAAGAATGAATTCATTTTGGAAGCCAGCAATTTCAGATTTAATTGTGTTGATTTGTCATTTTTTTTTCTCTCCCGCTCTCTTTTCCATGCCGTGTTGTTGGAAAAGGCTCAGAGCTGCCTGAGTTTTGATTTATCTTGTGCGGCAGTAGACCCTCATGCTTCCAGATACAGACCCCGCAGCTGATTCTCACTTCAAATGCAATTAAAAGGACTTGAAGGCCCAATTTGAAATTTCATCCTCATACTTCAAAGAAATTAGTTTGATGAGTGATTGCAATGGAGAAAGGCTAATAATGAAAATAATTAATGCCTGGAAATACTTCACAGGAGCAGGAAATGCTTGCGTACCTCCTGTATATTTAAAGAAAGCTCCAGAGTCAGAAAAAAAGCCAGAAGGCCAAACTGTCCATCCCAACTCCCAGAAGTTTGCCCTTGGCAGCATAATTAAGAGATGCCTCCTGACACCTTTCTTCTTGGACCAGCATTTGTAAACAGGGAGGCCATTTAACTAAATTCACATAATTGCTACAGAAAACATGGCCCAGACTTCTAAATATCACCAGCACTCGGGAGAGAATAACAATTAAGGAACATGAAAGCGTGTGTGGTGTACACGAAGAAAAGTAGGTTCTTCACCTCCATGTCTCATCCTTAACCTCACCCCACGAAACTTAGAAAGCTCCCTTTAAAGGCAAGATTTCAAATCACATTGATCAGGAAGATGTGAATTGGCTACTTCTATTCCTCTAACATATGCCATGTAACCAAACACAGAACAGGAATGGCAGAGCACAGAGACACTTCTGGCATGCACGCTGTGAATCTCAGGATCGGGTGGACTTGGCCTCTTTCTCAATCCCCATTACAGATGTCAGACCAATCTGCCTTCTTGGGGCAATTTCTGGTTCCCTGAGTCCATGCCATTTTGCTGAACTGCTCTCTGCCTCTCAAGTCTTCTTCACTCACTCTGACTGACCCAAGCCTTTGCCTACAAGCCAATTTTCTGACTTTATCCTTCATAGACAGGCCCATCTAATACATCGGGCTTGGATCCTTTTTCTTCTATTATGGACAAAATTACATTCCTTAAAATTCATATGATGAAGCCCTAACCTCCAATATGACTGTATTTAGAGATAAGGAAGGTTAAGGGAGGTCATAAGAGTACTACCCCAATCTAATAGGAATGGTGTCCTTGTAAGAAGAGGAAAAGGTGGGTGTTGAGCAATGAGAACACATGGACACAGGGAGGGGAGTATCACACACTGGGGTCTGTTGGGGGGAAATAGGGGAGGGACAGCGGGGGATGGGGAGTTAGGGAGAGACAGCATGGGGAGAAATGCCAGATATAGGTGATGGGGAGGAAGGCAGCAAATCACACTGCCAGGTGTGTACCTATGCAACAATCTTGCATGTTCTTCACAGGTAACCCCAAACCTAAAATGTGATAAAAAAAAAAAAAAAGAATCTCGTACCCAGGGCCTAAAAAAAATAAAAAATAATTTAAAAAAAAACAGAGGAAAAGACTGGATCTCTCTCTCTCTCTCTCTTTTTCTCTCTCTCTCTCTCTGTTTGTCTGTCTGTCTCTGTCTTTCCATGCATGCACAGAGGAAAGTCCAAGTTGAAGGCACAATGAGAAAGCAACCATCCACAAGCCAGGAAGAAAGTCCTCACCAAAAGCCAACCCTGATGACACCTTGATCTTGGACCTCTGCCATCCAAAACTGTGATAAAATTGCCTACTGTTTAATTTGCCCAGCCCATGAGAGTGTCACAGCAGCTTGAGGAAACGAAGACACCTTCCTTATATTGTCCAACATTTCCTGCTTCTTGTGTCCCTTGTCATCCCTGAATGCCTTGCTGTCATTGTGGCAAGTTGCCCCACACCACCAATGACTGCTTTTTCAATCCCCCTCATTATCAAAGCCTCCTCCTCCTTCCATCTCCTGCACTCAGCCCTTCCCCCTCCACAGGTCTCGAGATCTCATCAGAAGCTCCTGTGTACTTACCATCGGTATTAGTCTGTTCTCACACTGCTATAAAGATACCACCTGAGACGGGTAATTTATAAAGGAAAGGGATTTAATTGACTCACAGTTCTGCATGGCTGGGGAGGCCTCAGGAAACTTACAATCATGGCAGGAGGCAAAGGGGAAACAAGGCAGGTCTTACATGGCAACAGGAGGGAGAGAGGAACAAAGTGGAAACTGCCAGACGCTTCTTAAAACCGTCAGCTCTCAAGAGAACTCACTCACTGCTACAGGAACAGCATGGGGGAAACTGCCTTCATGATTCAGTCACCTCCCTCCAGCTCTCTCCCTCGACACCTGGGGGTTACATTTGGAGATGAGATTCCCACTTCCTCCCCACTCATCAGACACCTCCTTCCTTCCTTCCTTCTCTCCATTTTTGCAGATTTATTAACCCATTATTTCATTAACAATGTCCCCAGTGCCCTAAATTGTCCTATTGGAGGTGAAAGGGAGCCCTTGCATTTGGATCCCGTGTTTTTTCTTTTTTTTTTTTTTTTTTTGAGACGGAGTTTTGCTCTTATTACCCAGGCTGGAGTGCAATGACGCAATGTCAGCTCACCGCAACCTCTGCCTCTTGGGTTCAAGCAATTCTTCTGCCTCAGCCTCCCGAGTAGCTGGGACTACAGGTGTGCACCACCATGCCCAGCTAATTTTTGTATTTTTTTTTAGTAGAGA